CAGCGTGGAACACAGCCGGCCCCTCTCTGAGTGTGCCACCGGACCGGCCACACGGTGGCACCTGGAAATTTCCCGGTATCCCGGTGGGCCAGTCCGGCCCTGGCTGACACATGTAACTGCAGGCATGATCCCCCTGCAGATCATGGTGGGGGGCATGCCTCGCCATCCAGGCACACCCCCTGTGGCCAATTACCACGATCTGCAGGAGGTGATCACAGTGACAGCCTGTCACTGTCATCACTGTTCCTATGTGTCAACCAATGATCTGAAATCACTGGCTGACACTGTCTCTGCCCTCTCCTCCCCTCTTAACCCCTTAAGTTTAAAAATAAAATATTACAGTTAAAAATAAAATATACTTAGATCATTTGAATTTAATGCGTTCTCTGGGACGTTTCTTATTGCAAAACATTTGTAAACCGAAACACGGTTTCCCATAAGAATGCACTGAAAACCAATTAATCCGTTCTGTAGGTCAGAAAAAGTAAAAATGAGATGGCATGGAAACCAACCCACAATGCAGAACACACAATAAAAGGCATGCAAACAACGAAGCTCAGCTGCCTACCTTTCCACAGCTTGAGAAATGCAGCAGAAAGTCTCCAAACAACTGCAAACAATTTCCAGAATGGCTCCAAAACTCAATGCAAAAGCCACTCCAACACCTCCACACTCAACGCCACGTACTACCCACAGGCTCCAGCATGCACGGGCAGTGCTATAAACCTCCCAGGTGCAATGCATCCTGGGGAAACTTGCTTTGTATTGCGCAGAAAAATGTGTAAACCGAGGCATTATTTTCAATAGATTTTCATTTGTAAACCGAAAAATATGTTAACAGAGGCGTTTGTAAACCGAGGTCCCACTGTGTATATATATATATATATATATATATATATATATATATGATCTAAGTATATATATACATTTACACATACACTAAGTTTACTTTAATATTAATACATATATATAATTATATATATTAATATCAAAATACACGTAGAATGATATTGATTAAATATATATAATTATATATATATTTATATATAATAGAAAAAATATGTAAATACGTTAAAAAAATAAAATAAAAAATAAAAATAAATAATAAAAAAAATATATGCGTGTAATTTTGTTCTAACTGTATTTTAAAATCAATATATATATATATATATATATATATATATATACACACATGTATATATATTGATATCAAAATATACGTAGAACGAAATAATATATATATATCTATATACATAAGTATATATCACTATACGTATACCTATATATAAATAATTAGTATATGAGAAAAGGTATAGAGAGTGTGTCAGGTTGCTTTAAGAAAATGGGGGGTAACCCCTAGCAAATAACAATTGAAACGAAAACGAGGAAAATACAAGAAAACCCAGAGGGTACATAAATCTAAATAGTATACCTACGGGTATCTAGTATCACTGAAAGCAACCCCTAACCAAATAAAATATAACTTTTAATAATAATACGTTATAAAGTAAATAAAGAAAAACAAGCACAATAGCTACAATATAAAAGATATATAATATCTAAAGTTGGTCTTGACTAGTAGGAGGAGAAAGGAGGCTTGATAGAAATATACATTTAGATACAAAAGTGTCACAATGTCTACTCGTGGCACAAATGATACAAGGAAAGAGAGGGTTAAAGTATAGACTTTACTGAATAGCCCAACTTCTCTCCCTGTTTTTATCTTCCAATCCCACTATAATAATGACGAGCCCCCAGCTCTTCTGTACTAAACTGCTAACCAACTATAGATTTCTAATTAGACATCTAAATTGCTATAAAGTGTAAAAGAACGTATGTGGAGGGTGGCTAGGAAGAGCCGACCTTTGGCGAAACGCGCGTCGGGACTAGTCAGTGTGAAGGGTGGTGGAGAGAGACAGAGACGATGCTGCAGCTGTGACTATTATTTAGCTCAGATCTAGCCAACCTCCACATACGTTCTTCTAGTCCCAAGTCATTTCCAACTCCAGCGTCCCAGTACACACACCTGGCTGAATACTCCCATTATAGGCTCTTTTAAATGTGGGTGCTGTGTCTCCTGCAAATACATCCAACGTGACTCAAAAAAGGTTATGGACAGCGATAGAAAGCAGTGTTTTAATATCAGGTCATTTTTCAACTGCAACACCGCTGGGCTAGTCTACTTACTCACTTGTGAGTGTAGCTTACATGTTGGAAAAACATTCAGACCCTTCAAGGGGAGAATTAAAGAACACGTTAGGTCCCCCAAACTCTTAATTGAAACCCCTATTGCCCGTCATCTTAAGGAGCACCATTCAGGAAATCCACAGGGTCTTGAATTGGTGCGACGAGACAAAAGAAGGGGCAACTATAATAGGTATCTGAGACAACAGGAAAGTTTTTGGATCTACCGGTTAAAAACCTTCCAACCTAAAGGCTTAAATGAAGGGTTCTCATTTGCACCCTTTATCTAAATGGATTTATTTAACAATTGTCCTCTTGTATACTATATTTAATGACAAACATGTATTTATGGCCTCATGGATAATATAATAATGAATTGTCCTGGATCTTACAATTTTAATAAGGACAGTTATGTCTATGGATATGTGTCTCTTACTACCTCAAGGACAATCTGTATATTGATGAATTAACTAACCATTTCTTCATTACTTTTCTATAAATATTGTTTTATTCTAACTAACACGATGGTGGTTGATGAATTTGCCTACCTTTCAAACCAGTACATTTTTTTGTCTTTATATCACTTGACATAATTATTCGAACCACATAGCTCACAATAATTATATATTTATAGATTTGTTTAGCAACTCTATGACTACATCTCTGTATGATTATCACTACTGTCATCTATATAATAATATAAAAACTATAAGACATTGACTTAACTCTAATATGCCTTAGGTGAACACAGTAATTCCCAATGCTCCAATCCTAAAACACCTATCCTTTATACAATGCATACCAATGTAGGATGTAATGTGATTTGATTTAGCCTTTTGGCTTGTATTAGACTGACATCTATTCAATTGTGCCAGTCCGACAACTACATAGTAATTCTATCCCTATTAAGGGTATTGGAAGGTTTGATCCCTTCTACAATTTCAGCACCTTGAGAGCTAATTCTCTATCCTTTGCCGAACCTAACACACGCCACCTACCAAAATATGACACGCCCCCCTGCCCGTTTTGGATACTCGCGAGCATCTTCTGAAGTAATGATTCCAAGGGGCATGATCTATTAGGTTTAAAAAGTGGCGCAAGCAGTTCACAGTTAGCTCTTGACCAAGGCGTATGGTATTGCCGAAATGCGCGTTGGGATAGTTTCCCGTTACTGCAAACGTTTTTATTAGGACCACTTCTGTCACTTACTTTCTTGTTCCTCCCTTTTCGGGTGGGGGGTGGGGGGATTTACTGGGGATAAATATTTTTACTGAATATCTCTCCAATACTACTATAGCTAACTTGGTTATTTCTTGTGCGGTCAACATAGGGAAATCCTATACCCCAAATCTCCTTTAGCATTACAATAGCAAGGACTGATTTGAGGCTTACTGACCTCTACCTGTTAACATTTGGATTTAAGCTTTACCTACTTTTAAATAACATCCGCTGTATGAGTGAGCACTAGCTCTTCAATTTTTCAGGGGGAAGCAAGGGTGTTCAGTTTCGGTTGTTCTAGTTGCCTAGTTGGAACCCTGACACTATGGTTGTTGCTTTGGGCTCCTGACAAATTTGGCAACTTTTTTACGTATCAACAGACCCCTACCCTTACCCTGTTCAACTACTTATATATAAACTTATTCACAGCAGTACATACCACTGAGTGAGTTACCTTTTTCAGCTTATCATACATTGCCATATGTAGATAACAGTTAATTATATTATTACTTAATGGGATATTACAATTGGGGACAAACCTATTAATTTCAAATGTATTATCGCTAGCTTCCCGGTTGATTGAATTTTCAATCTAGGGTTTTGCTGCTATATACTTCCCCAAATATTCCTTAGTTTGTAAATACTTATTTTTCCATTATCCCCTAAGGTGTGTATATATGCTTGGATTTATATATGGGCAATTAGAGATATCTTTACTTTAAGTCATTCATGACTTAATATGAAATTCTCTATTTGGCCCACAGTCAAGCATTAATTAATATACCCTTCAGAGTAAGATCCAATTTAATGTCAGACACAGACATGCAACTTTGTTGCGACGATTTGGAACATTATATAAAATAGCAGTCTCAGTCTGTAACCATTTGGATCAAATTGCTACAACGGTTGGTCCTATTTTAACCACTGATTATTTTTTTCTTTCTTCACTTTATTAGTTCTTTCTATACTAGTTTATTTATATTTTACTATTAATTTTTTGGCCTCATTAGGGATTAATAAAATTATAGTTTCTTTTTTTGCACTTAATTAATTAATTCATTTTAACCTATCAAGGATAGAGCATTTTCTCAAGGTTACTAGGTCTGTTAGTTGGTTTGTTTATTTAACTTACCCTTTCCAGTCCTTCTTTCTATGTTTATTTCTGGGTTATGCCCTGAGTATCCCACAACCACTGCAACACTGGTGAAAAGGGTTTTTCCCTTTCTTACCATTGTTGTATTTTTCTTGGAAGTATGATTTAATTGTATTTATTTTGAGTACATAATATATCTGTAACTTAATATTTTGGTACATGTGTCAGAACATTTGTATGGGAAAAAATAGAGTCATATGCAAATTGTTTTGCATAGGTGTCTTTTAGTATTCCTGTTTATGCTTTCAAACTGTGGAGATATTGCAATGTTGCAAGTTTTTTTTTGTGATGTTGAATGTGCCGTGATGTGTCTAAATGACATCTATAGTGAGTTAGAAAAATGTTGCATTTTGCAGTTTCCTTCAGCTCAGATAATAAACATAACTGGCAAAATTTGTGCAGATTATTGGTGATTGTTTAGAACAGGCTTCCTCAAACTCTAGCCCTCCAGATTTTGCTGATCTACAACTCCCTTGATTCTATTAATGAAATAGATAGGCTGAGAATCATGGGAGTTGTAGTTCAGCAACATCTAGAGTTGGGGAAGCCTGGGTTTGAAGAACTACAGCTTGCTCTAGTGCTAATGTTGCAAAGAGAAAAGGGGCAACTACACCCAGTTTAATGCCAACCCCTTTAGAAATAGTTTGCCATAAACTAGGTCTCTCCAGAGCATCCTGTCATTACCCCTCTGCTGCTGCACTATTAATTAACACTTCTGCATTATTATTGTCAGTTTTGTTCAATCTGAACCACATTGACTGGATGAGAGTACTGGGTTAATATTAGTATTAATGTTACACTGTAGTCACCAGGACACCGGCAGTTGAATGTAGTTGTTCTGGTGTCTATAGCCTGTCCTTGCAGGTCTTTTAATGTAAACACTGCTTTTTCTCTGAAAATTGCTGCCTAGTAACACCTCTAGTGGCAGTCACTAGAGTTGCTTCCTGGGTCAATGCTGCACAATGTGTAGCACTGACATTCAGTATGGAGACATTGAAGTTCCCCATAGAGATGCATTGATTCAGTGCATCTCTATGAGGAGATGGTGATTGGCGCAACGTGGTGTTTGCCATTCATGTACAATAAAATTGCCACTATTATGTATTTAAAGTACAAATAACAGTGTTTAGAAATCAGTATGTGTAAATACAATACAACTCTGGAACTGCAATGTTTAACATTGCAGCACTAACGGCAACAGGGACACTGCAGCCAGACCCCTTCAATGAGCTGAAGTTGTCTGGGTGCATATAGTGCCCTTTTAAAGCATCCCTCTTTGTCTATTTGAAATATTGGCAGGTACGATTTTGGAATTGTCTACTATATAATTTATTCTGTATTGTGCGACAGCAGATGTTCTCCTTAATAATTAATAACATGCTATATTAAAAATTCTTTTAAAAAATTGTGTGTACAGTATCTGTACTTTTTCTGTCTGTATCCAGAAACACTTTGTCTCCTTACCGTCATTAATAACACACACACACGTCACTATATGGAAACACGCAATACAGCCCCTAATCTCTGACACACACACACACACAACACCAGGTAACAGGTAACATTCTTCACACACAAAATACCACTAGCAGCCTCCATAAGTATGCCAACCCAGTCTCTCATTTGTCCTCTGGTGTACAGATACAAGTCACCAGTATGTGTAGAACAGCAGACCTTTATGGATGTACTGCCCTGATGAGGCATTAAAGTGATATGGGGTGTGCAAGTCAGTGATGACACAAAACTCATATTGGGCTGCTTTGCCTTAAAATGGCCCTGGCTCTGTATGGAGAAGCTTAACTTTCTCCATAGAGATGCATTAAATCAATGCACATCTATGAGAAGATGCTGATTGTCTAGAACAGCATTTGGCTTCACCCCTGCCCTGCCTCCTTGGCTGAGATCAGCAGAATTTACAATCTCAGGCAATCCAATGCTTTCCTATTTGCTGTGCCCTCTTTATCGTGAAAGAAACATGCTTCACCTTCCAGATTTCCGCCTTCTTGCAAGACCACAAACTTTAATTCACTAATGCATCGCACCCTATCTCCCCTCCACCATTACTGCTGTCAATTTTTCATCCCATTTCACATAAAAGATTGACAACATCCAAAATGAAATCCCGTTTCACTACTACAGTTAATGGTCTGAACCTTTGCTGGCCTCCTCCGCTACACTGACAGGGCTTTTCACTAAAATCTGAATGATGCTACATATATGGCCATTTGTATTGCAAAATCAAAATTATGTTCATGCTATTTAATCGTCAAAAAAATATTAATATTATAATTAGAGTTGAGCGAACCCGGACTGTGAAGTTCGGGTTCGTACTGAACATTAAGTTTTTTGGATCCCGGACCCGAACATATCACTGTATGTTCGGGTTGAAGTTCAGCGATTTAATGGTGCGTTTTGAAAGGCTACAGGCTGCACCCAAAAAAAGTAAAAATTTTTGGGTGCTAAAAAGTACATTAGTGGGGTGCACTTCATATCTGAGAGTCAAATAGAAGCGTCAAAGATTTTGCACTGTTTCGAGTACTCCACCAACATGGCCAGTGCCGATGATGCCGTTCTCAGCCTTACTATCCCCGCTTCTATGCCTCCTTGAAAAAACGCTTCGGGTGATGATGGAAGAGGATGTGCCACAGGAGGAGGAGGAAGAGGGTTATCAGGCCAGTCATTCACAACTGGCTTGGAGGGTGGGTTCCTGCACCAGCATAGGCCAGGTACACAGTTCTGGAGGATGAGGAGGAGGATGATGAGGATGAGGAGGAGGAACCGTGTTCACAGCAGAGTGGCAACCAACGCAGCTCGTGGGCATCACTGGAGTGTGGCTGGGGAGATCCGGAGGACACAGACGATACACCTCCCACAGAGGACAGCTTGTCCTTGCCTCTGGGCAGCATGGCACACATGAACGACTACATACTGCAGTGCCTGCGCAACGACTGCCAAGTTGCCCAAATTCTAACTTGTGCTGATTACTGGGTTGCCACCCTGCTGGATCCCTGTTACAAGGACATTGTGCCATCCTTAATTCCCTCACTGGAGCGTGATCGGAAGATGCGCGACTACAAGCGCACGCTGGTAGACGCGCTGCTGAGGGCATTCATCAACTGACACCGGGGGCTCAGTGGAAGCACAAGGCGAAGGCAGGAGGAGGAGGAAGAGGTCACCAACGCAGCTGGGGCACCGCCAGCACCTCAGAAGGCAGGGTTAGCATGGCCGAAATGTGGAAAAGCTTTGTCAGCACGCCACAACAACCAGCACCACCATCTGATATGGAACGTCTTAGCAGGAGGCCGCATTTCAGCACACTATGTGTGCACACACCTACACGTACTAACTGATGTTTCTGCCCCAATCAACGTCTGGGACTCCAAATTGGGCACATGGCACCCAGTGTATTGTCTGAATGTGTGTTTAGCATGGCAGATAGCGTTATCACAGACAAGCGCAGCCGCCTGTCCACAGCCAATGTGGACAAGCTCACGTTTATTAAAATGAACCAGGCATGGATCCCACCAGACTTGTCTGTACCTTGTGCAGAAAAGACATTTATACCAGCCATTGTTATACTCAAGTGCACTTATTCTTTGTTTTCTTTTTTTATATGTCCCAATATATTGGGGGCTACCCCAATTAAAAAAAGAAAAAAAAAAAAATAGGCTACCTCCTCCTCCTCCACCGCTTCTTCCACCTACACCGCCATGGTCACAGCCTCCTCAACCTATGGGCCACTTAGTATAAACTATGTACACAATAGCAGAGGCTTGTGAAGGCCTTTTCTCCATGCATCAGGAGTTGAGCTCAGTTTGAACAATGAAAGAGAATACCCTGCACTCCAAACCTCTCTCAAATGGATAATTTTGGTGATCCTCCTGACAGCCATGCTTTAGATTTTGATTTATGTTCTTCCAAAGCTAAAATCAAAGATTCCATCTAGTGCTATTTTATGGCTCAGCTGTATTTTTAATTTTTAGGTATTTCATGTTATTTTAAGTGATTTCCCTATCCACATTTGTTTGCAGGGCACTTGTCCTACTCTTACCCCCATTTTACTTCCTTTTGCAGCCCTCTAGCCCTTTCCAGTACTTTTTTAGTGGCATTTTTTATTTCAATGGGGTTCGGGGTCAAGTTTGATCCCGAACCCAGACTTTTTTTCAAAGTTCTGAAAAGCAGCGCTAGCAGCCAGTGGGCATATAGCTTAAAACCCTTGCCAACGCAAAGGTTAACTGTGACGACTGGCCAGTGCTTTCTAGCCAGGTATCATAAAAAAATAAGTAACAAAAATGATGATCAGTAACACCCCATATTAATATAATAGATCATGCAATAGGTGGGGGCATATCAACAAAATGTTCAAAAATAGCGACTGGGCAATCTCAAGAAATGCCCTATGCCAATAGGATGAGGCCTACGAAATAAGGGAACATACTCTCTCCGCCCCTCGTGCCGGGTTGGTGACTTTAAATTAAATAATGGGGGATGGACAGATCATTCTTCACCTTGAGATGAAACTATTTAATAAAAAAAATTGAGGGCCACCATAATTTACCTCCTTCAATTTACCTCCCACTCCAAACCATGTATAGCAGGTGGGGGCTATTATAAGATAATAGTGTCTGCTTAACAGCCTATTGGAATATAATGTGGGCCCTAATTTCTCCAGGACACCCATGACAATATACAGTTCGGGGAACTAGGGACCTAGCCCCTAACCACATCCCCTTAAATTAAATTAACGTTAGCTACTCCCCTCACCATAATAACAGCAAAGGGGGCATTAAACTAATACTCGCAAAACAAAGAAAAATAAATTATACTTAACATCAGATGTTTTTCTTATATTCAGCCTTCAAAAAGGCCAAATGAAATCCATAATATGCAACGATCTAGAAGGGACAGGAGAGCTCGAATCTATCGAACAGACTATTAAAATGGATTAACATAAACAAATGCAGGTATCACAGCATCATATAGTAAAAAGAACTTTCGACTATTAGGTTATAGAATTATACACACCTTGTAACCATTACATACAATAACTGCAATTCACTTATAACACATCTCGATAAGGAGTTTATTCATTCAGCTAACAAAAATAAAATGTCAATTCTACATCAAAATAGCTTAGCATTCCTTCCCATGCAGTCTGTGCATGCTGAGTTGTCTGGCAAAGCTGAGTGTCAGCTTAGGGCTCATTGGTACAGGCCTCCCAAATGTCCACATTTCTGAGCTTTAGAGCCACGTAGAGTGCCCACCCTTAGTGGGCCTGGCTTGAGTAATTGGCAGGCAAGGTGGCATGCATTTATGTATTTATGGCATGCATTTATATTCTTCACGTACCCCCTTTCTAGGAAGGTCCATCCATTTGAGTGATGCAAGTGATATGAATTGTATCACTAACCCACCCCCTTTTACCACTCCCACCAGCAATCTCCTAAACGGGTTCTTATTTTTACTTTGCTCAATATTCCTTGTGTCAGATTCTACAAGGCAAAAGCACATTGTTCCTTATTAAATGGTATATGGATA